TGGAGAAGACTCTTGAGAGTCCCTTGGACTGCAAGGAGATCCAACCAGTCCATCCTAAAGGAAATCAGTCCTGAATATTCATTGGAAGGACTGATGCTGAAGCTGAAAGTCCAATACTTTGGCCACCTGATGCAAAGAACTGACTCACTGGAAAAGACCCTGATGCTGGAAAAGACTGAAGGCAGGAGGAGAAGGGGGCGACAGAGGATGAGATGGCCGGATGGCATCACCAACTCGATGGACATGAGTTTGAGTAAACTCCAGGAATTGGTGATGGACAGGGAGGCCTGGCGTGCTGCAGTCCATAGGGTCACAGTCGGACACACCTGAGTTACCAAACTGAACTGAAGGAAAATAGAAAATCCACAAATAAGTTGAGATTAAACAACATACTCTCCAACCACCAATGGGCCAAAGTAGGTTTAAGAAGAGAAGTTTAAAAGATCAAATCAACAACCTAAGTTTACACCTTAAAAGGTTGAAAAGGAAAGCAAGCTAAATCAAAGCCCACAGGAAATAGATTATAATAAACACACCAAGAAATAAATAATTTTAATAGACTTTAACTAAGTAAGATTAAATCCACAATCAAAAACCACTCAACAAAGAAAAGGCTGGGATAAGATGGCTTCACAGGTAAATTCTACCAAACATTTAAAAAAGAGTTAACTCTAATCCTCCTCAAGCTCTTCCACAAAACTGGAGAAGGGAACACTTTCACATTCACTCTATGTATTTTTTAACTTTCTATATATTAAAGACATCTTAAACATGTGTATGGGGGAAGAGACTGCCCTTCATGTTTTCCTGTGTCTCTCATATTCATAGCCACATCTGACTCACCATCTTATTTAAGAAAACAAAACATTTGGGGCTCCCCTGGTGGCTCAGTGGCAAAGAATCCACCTGCCAATGAAGAGACACAGGTTTAACCCCTAATCCGGGAAGATCCCACAGGCTGCAAAGCAACCAAGCCCGTGCACTGCAACCACTGGGCCTGCGCTCTAGAGCCTGGGAGCCGCAAGAACTGAGTCCGTGGCCACAACTACTGAAGCCTGTGCGCTGCCAGCAAGAGGGGCCGCTGCAAAGAGAAGCCCCCGCTCACAGCAGCGAGAGAAGCCCACTTAGCAACAAAGACCTAGCAGAGCCAAAAATAAAATAATTAAAAAAAACACATTCTAAAAAAAAAAAAAAAAAACCACATTCTATAAGACCATCAAATATATTAAAAACAGACAAATACTAGAAAGCTACAGAGCAATATCCCAAATATAGATGCAAAAATCCCTCATAAAATACTAGCCAACAATTCAGCAGTTCGTTAAAAGGATTACACACCATGACCAGGGATGATTCAACATATGAAAGATATAATACACCGCAGAAGGACAAAAAAGTCACATAATCATCTCAACTGATTCAAGAAAGCATTTAAAACATTTAATAGCTTTCCATGATTAAAAAAAAAAATTCAAATAAAGAATAGGAACAAAAACTACCTCAGCATAATAAAGGTGATATATGAGAAACCCACAGCTAATATACTCAGTGGTAAAAGACTTAAAAGTTTCTCCTCTAAGGTCAGGAAAAAAAAAAAACCAAGGATGTGCATTTTTGCCACTTCTCTTCAACACAGTACTGGAAATCCTAGCCAGGGAAATTAGGGAAGAAAAGAAATGACATCCAAATTGGAAAGGGAGAAGTAAAGCTATCTGCAGATTATCTAATCTCATATGCAGAAAACCCTCAAAGACTGATCCACGGATCTCTCATCCACACACACACACACAGAGAAACAAAACTGTTAGAATAAACTAAGCAAAGCTGCAGGATATGTAATCACACAAAATCAGTTGTGTTTCTTCTCTTCACTAACAATGAATAATCAGAAAAACAAATTAATACAACAATCTCAATTAAACTACAATTAAACTACATTTCTACAATTAAACTACATTAAACTACAATTCTTAGGAATAAACTTCAACAAGGAGGCAAAAGACTTATATACTGAAAAATATATAACACTGCTGAAATTAAAGACACAAATAAATGGAAACACATCTTGTGTTCATGACCTAGAATACTTGTAACTATCAAGATGTTCACACTACCCAAAATGATCTATAAATATAATGTAATTCCTATCAAAATCCCAAGAGCACTTGAGAAATAGGAAAATCCATCCTAAAATTCATGTGAATTATCAATGAGACCATGAACAGTCAAAACAATCTTGAATAAGACAACAACACTGGAGAACACTTCCTGATTTCAAAACCTACTATAATAAGGTATTGTAATCATGAGTGTAGTATCGGCATAAAGATGGAAATATAAACTAATGCAATTGCATAGGGCACCAAAATAAACCCTCCCATATAGAGAAAAACACCAAAGGTACTAAAATTAATGGGAAAAGAGAAGTTTTTTCAACAGATGGTGTTTGGAAAACTGAATATTCACATGCAAAAGAATGAAGCAAACCATTTCCTTAACATCATATCCAAAAATTAACTCAAAATAGATCAAAGACCTAAAAGTAAGAACTAATAAAACTATAAAACTTTATTATTTTTTATAAAACTTTAGATAAAAAATAATACTTTATGACAGCAAATTTGTCAATGATTTCTTAAATATGACAGCAAAAGTACAGACAACAAAAGAAAAATTATATAAATCAGACTCAGAATTTCAAATGTCTGTGCATCAAAAGACATAATTAACAGACTGAAAAGGCAATTACAGAATGGGAGAAAATATCTAAATCACATCAGATAGGGGCTTTTAAGTAACTCCTACAACTCAACAAAAAACTATCCGATTAAAAATGGGCAAAAGACATGCATAGACATTTCTCCAAAGATACAGAAACAGCTAACAAGCATGGGAAAAGATGCTCAACATCATTAACCATTAGGGAAATACAAATGAAGACCAAAAGAAAACAGTACCTAACACTTACCAGGATGGCTACTATCAAAAATCCAGAAAATAAGTGTTGGCAAGGACATGGACTAACTGGGACCCTTGCACACAAAAAGCTGGTGATGTGTAAAATAGTGTAGCCGCTATGTAACAGTATGGTGGTTCCTTAAAAATTTTAAACCAGAACATCATACGATTTAGCAACTCCACTTCTGAGTATACACTCAAAATAGTATTAAAAGCAGGGTATCAGAGAGAGAGGCACACACAGCAGCAACATTACTCAAAAGAGAGAGCCAAAAGGCATGTAAGGAATCCAAGCTCACTAACAGATGAATGGTTAAACAAATGTGGTACACAGATAAGGACTACTCAGCCTTAACAAGGAAGAAAATTCTCACACAGTTGTCATGAATAAACCTTGAGGACATTACATTAAATGAAATAAGCCATTACTCCACTTCACATGAGGCACCTAGACAGAAAGAAGAGTGGTGACTGCCAGGGGAAGGGGGAAATATTCAATGGGTAAGAATGGGTACCCATTTGCAAGATGAAGAGTTCTTAAGACTAGATGTGCTACAATGTAAAGGTATTTGACAATACGGAACTATACATAATTAAGATTGTATATTTTATGTATACCGCCACAATTGAAAATTTTTAAACAGTAACTTCAAATAACCATATTACCTTTATATTCCAAATCACTTTGCACTCTGAAAAATACCAGCCTTCCTCATCTCCTCAAAATCTTTCATGGAATCATAATTCCTGTAGAAATCTGCATATGCCTTCTTTCTTCGTTCAGCCACAGCAAACTAAATGGTAACAATCACATTCAGGGTTTAATTTTTAGATTATGAGAAACAATATCTAAAGACAACATAAATCACCAAGTCTGCATTCACTTTGAATCCTATTATTTTATTAAGGCCCTTAAAGAAGTAATTAGGGCTTTCCTAACATTCCAGTATTCCTGCCTGGGAAATCCCACGGACAGAGGAGCCTGGCAGGGTCACATGAGTTGCATGTGACATAGCAACTAAACAGCAAAGAACTAACTAAGTTAAAATGAACTTTTTAGGATGGATCCTAATCTAATATGACTAGCATCCTTATAGGAGGAGAAAATTCAGACAGAAACATATTATCACATACAGGACTATGTGATGAGGGAGAAGACAGTCGTTTACAAAGACAAGCAGAAAGGCAGCAGAAGAAATCAACCACACAGTTTTTTTCTTTTTTTTGACCACACTTGTGGCAGGTGGGATCTTAGTTCCCCAACCAGGAATAGAACCCATGCCCCCTGCACTGGAAGCTTGGGGGCTGTTTAAGACTGGAAGTCTTAAACACTGGATGGTCAGGGAAGTCCCCCAGAGCCATCTTGATCTTGGATTTTTAGCCTCAAAACATTTTTTCTATTGTGGAAGTCACCCACTTTGTGGTATTTTGTTATGGCAGCCCTACCAAATTAAGCTCATTTAAAGATGAAAGACAAGCTATCTGGGGATTAAGAGATACTGTCCCCAACACACTGAGGTGGGTGGAGAAAGGTAAAATGAAGGGAGCACACTAAACAGGGAGTGTCTTTAAAAGATTCAATGAACTATCTATGAAAATAAAATACATTTTCAAATGTAAAACATTTCTGGACCGCGAGCACAAAGTAAAAATAAAACATACATTACCTTATAGAAAGTTGCAAACCCCAGGGAGACCATGAACGCTCCAACAATATGAAATCGCAGACGTTTGGCCAGGAGGCCACGCATCTGAGGTTTTGCCAGAGCAGTGGACATGGTAGTTCTCCTTCTCGGCGGCTAGAATTGTAAGAAACAGCTCTTAGAACTCTTCTGCATAATACGTTTTAGTGCCTAGACGGACACAAGCAGGATAGTGGACCAAGTCCTCTACCAAAAGCTAAGATCTTCAGGGCTTTAGTGACTTCATCTTTTTCCCTTTCACACGCTGAACACCACCCCCCACCCCACCCCCAACAAGCAAGCCGACTGCGGCCCAACAGTAACCGGAGCACAATAACGACACAGACTTCTCCGAATTACAGGAAAAATCAGCACTGGCTCTAGATTGATAGCACAAGTGCAAACAACCCTACCACCAACTCATTTAATCCCGTGAGACAAGTGTTTTCCTGTTTTACTGAGAAAACCCGGACGCACGAAGGTTAAGGAACCATTTTAAGGTCACGCAGTTCAGGACTAACACCCGGGCGGGACCCCAGCAGGTCCTCCGGGCCCTCGGCAAGCGCCGCCCGCGCGGGGTGGGAAGGCCGTGCGCGCGCGGAAGGGGCTGCAGGAGGCCCATCCCCGCCCTCGAGCCACGGGCCCCCCCGCCAGCTTCCCAACCCCAACCCCAAACGCTACCACAAAGCAGACAGTGACGCCTGGGGCCCGGAGGAGGAGGAAACCACTCCCTTCCTGCAGGTGAAAACACCGGGATAGGACAGGTCAAAGGACGCCGCCAAGGTCACGCTCGACGCGGTAAGATACGCAGCGGTCCCCGGGGCCGGGCCGGCTGCCTCAGAAGCCTGGCGGCTCCTCAAGGCCCCTCTCACGCTCCTCAGCACAGCCGGGGTCCCCGGGAGACCCTCCCCGAAGAGGCCGCAACGCCGGGAAGCTGGGGTCGACAAAAGGCCAGAGTTCCGAGGTTTCCCGACCCTAGAGATGCAGAGTAACGGCTAGAGAGGCAGACCGGCAGCGGGAGGCGGCAGGCAAGGCGTCCAAACAAGGGAGGCAGTAGGCACACGACTCACCTCAACCGCAACGTCCTTCTAGCCTGATGGAGAAGTGGGACGGCGTTCCCGCAGCGCGCAGGCGCGTAAGTAGGGGTGGTGGAGAGAAGACCCGGCTACGGTGGCCGAAAGAGTCCAAAAGGCCTCCGGCGCGCCTCCCGCCGGTCACAGCTGATATTAACGAGGGTGTTCAGTCTCTTCCCTGGGTAACCTTGAATTTATTTAGGCTTTGACCTTCTGCGTCAGTTTCCTTAGTAAATTGGAGCTACTCATCTTATTCATACACAGAGTTGATATGAACTGATTAGGGAATTCAAAGATTTAAAATATGTGAATTTAAATAAATATTTACCCTACAAATAGAGCACAAATCTTCCTGGACATGGATTGCTCCGACTATGTGCACAAACCAGCATTTTCATTATGACTATCCTTATGCATAAAGCGACTTGTTTGGATAAAGAGTGAACCAGACAGCCAAGTTCCAGAAGCTCACAGCCCAGCAAATGAGACAGGCATAAACAGAGTAATATCATGAATCCCAACCAATGGATGCTATAGTAGACAGCTGACCTAGCTGTTGCAGAAGCAATTACCTGCTTGGCAGAGTTGAACAAATTTTGATGGAAGTACTTGTGTGGACTTTTAGTAAGAGACGGGCGTTTTTAAAGGAAGACATCTGGAAGTTTATGGAAAGTAGTCTGTAAAGGTAAGACTCTTGTGCCTTAGGGGTGTCAGACTTGGTTTTTATTGAAATAACCTGAATTGGTACTGCATTATTGAAGTCAACTCAACAAGTACTGTGAAGGATTTATAGGCTACGTGATATTGATTCAACATATATGGATTGAGCAATTACTGGGTACCTGGCTCTGCTATTAGTCAGGCAGATCAAGCAGGTCATGGAGTCTTCGTCCTCAGAGACTTGTTAACAGATGGTTCTGGAGAGTGAAACCTTTCAGTCATAAATGGTGGTAACTGAAGGTCAAAGTGGATTTGTACCTCAGCAACATTTTTCAGGCTACTTATTGTTGTCCCAAGACACAGACTAAACAAACTGAAATGTCAGAGTTTAGAGCAGAGAAAGGTTTATGGGCTTCCCAGGTGGCACAGTGGTATAGAATCCATCTGCCAGTGCAGGAGATGCAGGAGACACGGTTTTGATCCCTGCATCAAGAAGATCCTCTGAAGTAAGAAATGGCAACCCATTCCAGAATTCTTGCCTGGAGAATTCCATGGACAGAAGAGCCTGGCAGGCTACAGTCCATGGTGTAGCAAAGAGTCGGACACGACCGAGCGACTGAGCGCACACACAAGCAGGGAGACCAGGCCACACAAGCTCAAAGGACCTGAATTCCCTGGTGGTTTGGGGGGAAGAGTTTAAGCACAAACTTTACGATGAGGGTTGGAGATTGTGTGACTTCCTTGTAAACGGCTAGTGGTGAAGAAACGTGGTGTCCCGGGACTCGTGCTCGTTACCATCCTCCACCTGGGTGGGTGAGGGCCTTAGTTCCTGCAGAACTCAAAGACATACTGTTATATATCTAGGAGTTAAGTAATCTGGGAGGTGAGTCTTAGAGAGTAAATACAGACCTTAATTAACAGAACTAGAATTTAATAGCCATTGAAATATAACCTTATTCTCTCTAAAATTACCCTCACTTTTACGTACAACCAAATTGAGACTAATTTGCTTATAAATAAGTCCGGTTAACTGATTACATAGGATTTTTTACACTGGCTGTATTGAAACTTTTCATAAGTTCTTTTTCAGAACTTTTCAAAATTTCTGAGACTGAACTTTTAATAGACCTCTCAAGGCCAGGAAAGCCATGCCAAGGGCTGGATGAATTTCTTCTAGAGGTCCCCCAGATTCCTGCACTTGCCAGGAGGCAGCCTTTCTTGTTTGCCTGATAAGGCTGTTCAGAACCTAAGAGCTTCTGATTTCTGGATGAATCAGGTAGACAGAAAGTATAAGTGTTTCAACTCTACTCATAGAGGTGTAATTTACCAAATTGCTTTTAAATCATAATTAGCATGAGGGGAAGGGTTTCCTTATATCTGGAAAACACAGATCAAAATCAATAATATTCCAGACAAAAAAGCATGAAAATTAATATAACTGTATTTACCAGTTCACTCAGCAAGAAATTCTTTTGTTAATAGTTTTATGATGCCATCAGATTTTCCATTAGGATTCTTTCATTTCTTACCAAATTCAGCAGTATAATCTGAAAGTTATCAGAAACATGTACTTGTCACAAAGTCCTACTATGAATCTTCTGGAAGATGAAGCACTTTTGCAAAAGCATCAGAATACAATAATAACTGTCTACACATGACAAAGGACTTTAAAATGCACAGTTAAATACCTGAGTATGATGTAACTGACAAAGAAAATTTTTTACTGCTGTGACACACAATATTTTAAGATAATAACTAAACTAATGACTGGTAATATTAACAGATAGGGTAAGGGGTCCCTGGAATAAAAAAAAGAATCAGCTATAGCTTTTCTTTCCAGTTATTATTATTTTTAAATTATGTATTTATTATTTTGCCTGCATCAGCCCTTAGTTGCAGCATGCGTGATCTTTTGTTCTGGTGCAGGGGCTCCTGGCTGCAGCACACAGGCTTTTCTCTCGTTCAGGCATGTGGGCCCAGCAGTTGCGGTATGTAGGCCCAGTTGCCTGAGGCATGTGGGATCCTAGTTCTCCAATTATGGGAACACGTACTGGCTATTTATGAAATTAAGAAATTATTGTAAAATCTCTTCTTTGGAGTGAAAGTGGCCTTATGGTTTAGAAGTACATACTGAAATATTTCTCAATCAAATGGCTTGATGATCATTATTTCCTTCAATATAATACAAGTGGGGCTGGCAGGCAGGTAAAGAAATGTAGTGGGGGTGTTGATTAAGGGAGAAATAATCAGAGGTTAGCAAATCATTTCTATGAAGAGCCAGGTGGTGGCTGTGGGCCAACGTCTTTGTTGACAGTATCCAGCTATCCTGTTGCAATGTGAATGCAGCCACAGGCAAAATATCAATAAAAGGAATGAATTTGACTGTGTTCCAATAAAACTTTATTTATGAAAACAACTAGTGGGCTGGGCTTGGCCCTTAGGCCAGAACTTGCTGACCCCCTGGTCAAATAGGCATTATTGTGGCTGGATAATGGTCACACAGTATTTCATCATACTATTCAGTCTACTTTTGCATATGTTTGATGTTTTTCCTCAATAAAATATTTGCAACAAATGAATATCTTTAGCATTATTTACAAGCTTCAGACCACTCTTCAGCCTTCTTGGTATTATTCTTGGAGGTGAGTCATACCTTTCATTTTCCCTTTTGTATATAGGCTTTTAAATGCCAACCTTATCTGAGAGCCATTTGGCCTTTATTTTCTGCCATGTTGAGATTATCCATAACTACATTTTAATTTTTAAATTTAATTTTCAATTTCTGGTCCTCTCATTCCTCTTAAGTAATTTTTTTGGCTGTGCTGGGTCTCACTGCCGTGTGGTCGTCTCTCCAGTTGCAGACAGTGGAGGCTACTCTTCATTCCGGCGGGCCGGCTTCTCACTGCCGCGGCTCCCCTTGTTGCAGGGCACCGGCTCTGGGCGCACAGGCTTCGGCAGCTGCGGCTCCAGGCTCGAGAGCACAGCTCCGCAGCTGTGGTGCTCGGGCTCAGTCGCTCTGCAGCTCGTGGGATCTTCCTGAACCAGGGATCGAACCTGTGTCTCCTGCATTGGCAGGCGGGTTCTTTACCACTGAGCCAACAGGGAAGCCCAAGCCATCCTATTTTAAGTGGAATCAGACCACAACTCGCATTTCCCTGAATAAATTAAGAAATATAAAAATTCTACTCCCTCTCAGCCTAAGGGGCTTATTTTATAAACATGTACTGAGGTTACTCTGGGCCACACTTCACAGCAGTTTTCGTGGACGCAAAGGTGACCATGACTCAGTCTCAAACTTTGGGGAGCTCCCAGAGCCCTACTTCCTCATTCTAAACTCCAAGACACTGCCTTCTAAGCTTCCTATCTCTTTCAAATCACCAGCTATTCTCATTATTGATAGAATTTACCTCATGTATCAATTTTCTGTGCTTTTCTCTTTGCCTTCTAGAGAGAGAGAGAGAGAGTGACTCAGGGCAAGTAAAAGAGAATGCAGCCCCAGGAGACAGGATCTTAATGTGTCTGCAGCTTAACCCAAAGTTTCCAAGCTTTGCTTACCTGCACACCCCTATACTATTACTCATTAACATTCTTCCTTAAATTGACTTGTTTTTAAAAAATCAGTGTAGCTAGAAGTATTTAGAGATGCTAACCTGGGCTTTCCCATTGTCCATACCGCCACCATTCGCCTGGGAGGAATAACGTTCCACATGCTCCCTGGGAAAAACACACTACCTAAAGGTAGTCAGGTAGGACAGGGGTAAAGAATCCGCCTGCCAATGCAGGAGAGGCAAGAGACACTGGTTTGATCCCTGGGTCGGGAAGATCTCCTGGAGAAGGAAACGGCCACCCACTCCAGTGTTCTTGCTGCAGTCCGTGGGGTCGCAAAGAGCTGGACACGACTGAGAGACTGAACTGACTGACTGACACATGGAAGTAGAATCATGTGGTCTTTCATTCGTGTTGTAGAATTCCCTTTCTCTTTAAGGCCATTGTACGTATATAGCCACGTGGGTTGTTTATATACTCATGGG